AAACACATTTGCAATCGTTTGGTGCAACCTAACCTGATCTCTGTATACACGCACCGCACGCACGCACACGCACACATTTCGAACAATTATTATGATAAATGAGCATCCACAAATTTATTTACTGTTTACTATGTCGATTGCTTTCCAGGTCTTTAAATGCTCGATTGTAATTTGGTTGGGTCTTTGCTTTTGCTGACTGGATCCACGACCGATCTTGCCTTAGTTAGCTGGATCACACACACAACAGATGCAAATCCGAGCGAGTAACCTCCATGTAGTACACCTTGGATAATGTTAATACCGGCGCTACTCTATCATTCAACCCTCATAACTCGCAAAGTACTTAATAAAAATGAACATTATTATAGTGTTTTGGAAAGCTCTTGAATTAAGCTATAAGAATATGCAATCAAATGTAGGGGGTGTCATTTAAAAAAGTCAATGTGACCTTGACCTGACCTTGACGACGCCATCCAAGGTCAAACTGATAGAATCAGTATATAGATCTTCTTAAACCCTACAACTTTTGTTGGAAACACTTTTCTGTAAAACGTATATTTTCCGAGATATTTAGGGGTTTCCACACTTTTGGTAGACCCTGTATATATATATATAATGTATTTATATTCATGCTTACCTTTTGCGATTAGCCATTGTAAAAAGTGGATGACTCTCGATAAAGTACTTATATATAAAGATTGGAGGCCAAAAGAGAAAGGGGATTGCCCAATTAGACACAGTACGATTAGACACAGCCAATCATAGGCCGCGTTCAGCAGACTTAACCGCTAAGTAGCAGTCAAACATGATTGGTTTCTACTTTCAGATCCAGCCAGTCAGCGTCGAATTACATCGGAGGTGTCTCAAAGAGAAAGCACAATGGTTGCCTTTTATTCCATAAATATAAAACTAATTAGAAATGAATCTCTATAAGGCCATCTGTTCAATCGGCAATCACTTGCGTAAACACAATTGCACGTATGAAATTAAATGTTATTAGATTTGGTGATCGCGCCTCCATCACTTTGTTTTTAAGCGCCAAATCTGACAATACTGATGCATTGTCTGCTCACATTATCATAGAGGGCGTGATAATTATACTATTGGGCCTGTTCTTTTTAGCTGCACTGCTGCACTAGTGCAATTAGTTAGAGTGAAAGAAAGTATGTTTGTCTCTTTCTAACTTATTGCACTGGTGTAGCAGTGCAGCTAAAAGGAACAGACCCATTGTAATCTCTATATTGTTGGTAATATGTTTATATATTATTGCTAATGTTCAGAAAGTGAATGTATTAGCGGTAAAGAGTAATAAGAACGTGATATTTTTCTCTTGAATAACATTTCTAATATTTTAATTAGGTAATTATTTTACATTACATCCATACTATTTGTTATAAATAAATCAATACATATAAATAAATCATTAATACATATGATCTTATACATAATAATATAAAATAACTTGTGTGATATATGCAGTGTTACAAAATACTTTGATCTATTTGAAACTAGAAAGAATTATATATAAGATATATTTATGATATGTATTGTTTATTTATTATTTAGTTTTATTAAACGTATGTAGATATAGGGTTCAAAATTATTAATCTACTTTATATATTGCAGGAAGTTTGGTTATAAACAAGTATCACACTGGTGTCACAATTACACACTGATTATATATTCTTCTTTTGGATAATATTTCTGGATAATTTAATCAGGTAATTACCTCTCACATTACTTTTTATATATGTTTTACATAATGCTTTACATAATAACTTTATCCGTTAAAAAGTTGCAAAAACTGTATATATTGTTCGTTTAGTTTTAATAAACGTATGTAGATAAAATTTAAAATTATTAATCTAATTAAAATATTACAGGAAGTTTGATTACAAACAAGTGTCGTTATACACTTTATTGTGGACTCAGTCAGGTAATTACTTAATTTTATTTTTTACACATTGTATCCATAGTATTTATTTGTTATAAATTGGTATATATTTTCACATATACAACATAACTTGTATAATACATACTTTACAAAATAATTGAGTTTGTTGAAAAGCAATAAGGATAATATGTTTCTATATACTATAAACATTTTTATTTAATAAAGGTATGTAGATAGGGTTCAAAATTATTTATCTAATTTAGATATTGCAGGATTTGCTTATATAAAGAAGTGTGGCTATATTTTTCTGATAATTCGTCAAGTAATCATTTCACATTACTTTTTATACATTTGAACCCTATCTACATACCTTTATTAAATAATATATTCTATAAATATTCTATGATTTTTATTGTTTAAAATTATTTTGTAAAACATGTATTATACAAGTTATTTTGCATGTAAAAGTATATACATTAATAATTTATTTGTTTAACAAATACTCCTAAAAAAACTTACCTGTTTTAAAAAAAGGTAAAAAAAAGGCGCCAAGTTCATGTACATTGTATCAAATTGTTGTATCATTAAAAAAAATAGTGATATAAAAAATTACGCCAATTAAGAATAAAAACTTGTACAAATTTAAATAGAAATGTGAATTGGAAACTTTTCTATACAAAATAGTTGTTTTAATTTCCAACAATAATAATAGTAAAAAATTAAAAATTTATTTGAAACTTGTAAAGTGAAAATGAATATAAAACAAAAAAATAAAAAAAATTTTTATGAAAAAAACTTGGCGCTGCCAATTTTATTAGCATATTATTCAGCTTAGAACTGTTACTAAATTTGCAAATTAAATCAACATAAATTAAAGAAATTAAACAATTTTTTTAAATGTTAGATTAATATAATAAGAATTAATAATTAGAATATGCCAATTTTTTTAATAATTACAATATGTGCTAATTTTAAATACATATCTACTTTAAATATGTATTTCTTTTTTAATTATATGTCAATTTTATTGGCAGCACCAAGTTTTTTTCATTAAAATTTTTTTTATTTTTTTGTTTTATATTAATTTTCACTTTACAAGTTTCAAATAAATTTTTAATTTTTTACTATTATTATTTTTGGAAATTAAAACAACTATTTTGTATAAAAAAGTTTCCAATTAACATTTCTATTTAAATTTGTACAAGTTTTTATTCTTAATTGTCGTAATTTTTTATATCACTATTTTTTTTAATGATACAACAATTTGATACAATGTACATGAACTTGGCGCCCTTTTTTTACCTTTTTTTAAAAAAGATAAGTTTTTTTAGGAGTATATCACTTCTTTTTCAGTATAATTTGCTTAGAGATATTGTATTAAAATGTATATATATATTTTTTATTATATATATATATATATATATATATATATATATATATATATATTGTAACGGTACGGCCTATCCCGTGCGCCACGGACTGGCTCGCCGGTGCCAAGATTCGGAAGTAGGTAGGAGAGTCAAGCGTACGAATCCTCTTTTATAAACAACAGGTCTTTATTGGTAGCTAGTTTATCCAGGTTGACTTAACCTACGCAGAGCTTATACCTAACTATTTTTACGCGGAGCTTATACCTAACTTATTGTACGCGGAGCTTATACCTAACTTATTCTACGCAGTTAATTATTCCTCTAGCTTAACCTACGGACGCTTACGGTAAACTTAGCCTAGACGGTCGGTCGCGGTTCCGTTCGGCGAGCGTGTCGCGATTGCGGCGTGCGGCGGTGCGCGGAGGCCGAGTGCCGGGCAAACCCAGGCGGCGGAGAGGTCAGCCCCGTCTCCGTCGGCGTGCACGGTCAGGAAGCCGAGTGCCGGGCAAACCCAGGCTGCGGAGAGGTCAGACCCGTCTCCGTCGGCGTGCGAGGTCAGGAAGCCGAGTGCCGGGCAAACCCAGGCGGCGGAGAGGTCAAACCCGTCTCCGTCGGCGTGCACGGTCAGGAAGCCGAATGCCGGGCAAACCCAGGCGGCGGAGAGGTCACACCCGTCTCCGTCGGCAGGAACGGTCAGGAAGCCGAATGCCGGGCAAACCCAGGCGGCGGAGAGGTCACACCCGTCTCCGTCGGCAGGAACGGTCAGGAAGCCGAATGCCGGGCAAACCCAGGCGGCGGAGAGGTCACACCCGTCTCCGTCGGCAGGAACGGTCAGGAAGCCGAATGCCGGGCAAACCCAGGCGGCGGAGAGGTCACACCCGTCTCCGTCGGCAGGAACGGTCAGGAGTCAAGATGTCTCGGTTATTCCCTGAGATTCAGAGCTGGTCGGAAGCTGGAAAGGAATAAGGTGCCGGTCTGTCGTGCGAGCCGGCTTTTATACGGCTCGAGAGCCCCCCATGCTCGCGTGCGTCAAGGAGGGAGTAGGATTCGGTGGGGAAACATAGGCGGGATCGCAGGTGGGCGCCATAGGCGTCGAGTAAGGAATTTACTCGCGGAAATTACTATAGTTAACTCTTTATTTTATTTTATGAACACAGGAACAAGAAACGAAACGAATGAACAAAAATTATATACATATATACAGGGACGACGACGGTGTCGTCACACCACCCCGCGCTTAGGGGGGTCCGTCGAGGCGCCGGGCCGCTCGGGGGCGGCCGTCTGGGTGGAACCTGATCACCCATCGGCCCGACGTGGTGCGGACCTTATATCTTCGCCCGATGATAGCCGACCCGGCGGGGACCTCGACCACGGTGCCGTCGCCCAGGCGGACGGGAATGGTCCCGGCGATGGGTGGCCTGGCGGTCGGCGGTCGGGTGGCGGACGGTCCGACGGGCGTGGCTGGCCCGGTGGTTGTAGGACGGGCGATAGGTGGTCCGACGGTTGCAGGCCGGGTGGTACGTGGCCCGAGGTTTGCAGGCCGAGCGGTAGGCGGCCGGATGGTCGTAGGTCGGGCAGCCGCGGGGTCGGCGGTCCTGGGCCGGGTAGCCGGTGCACCGGTGTTCGCAGGCCGAGCGGCAGGGACTCCGGTGGAGGGGTGCGGTCCGGTGGTCGGTGGACGGCTGTCAGCTGACCGGGGGTCGGCCAGGGCGGCGATTCTTCCGCGGCGGCGTGGCTTAATCTCCGGCGGCGTCGCTAGCAGGATTGCCTTCCGCCGGTTTGCCTGGTCGGATCGCTGGACGGATGTCCCGGGCCGCGGCGGTCGTCGGGATCGTCCCGGGCTCGGGACCGCTGGAGGCGGCTTGGCAGGCGTTGGCGGCGTCGTGGTCGGCGTGGTAGTAGGCCCGCTTGTCTCGGACTCCGAGCTCGAGCTTATGGCTCCGAAAAGTTCGTCTACCTCGTGTCGATTCATAGCGACTGTTAATCCGCACGCGGTTGCACGGCCTTATATACCCGTTGCACTGCTCCTGGAGGGGATTCGTTCGCGGAATTTCCGATGGCTCGGGGTGTCCCGTGGTTCCAGTGGAAGTAGCGGAGTCCGGTTGCAGGTCGGGTAGTCGCGGTGCCGGCGGTCGTAGGCCGGGCAGTAGCTGGACCGGCGGTCGTAGGTCGGGCAGTAGCCGGACCGGCGGTCGTAGGCCGGACAGTAGCTGGACCGGCGGTCGTAGGTCGGACAGTAGCCGGACCGGCGGTCGTAGGCCGGACAGTAGCTGGACCGGCGGTCGTAGGCCGGACAGTAGCTGGACCGGCGGTCGTAGGCCGGACAGTAGCTGGACCGGCGGTCGTAGGCCGGACAGTAGCTGGACCGGTGGTCGTAGGTCAGACAGTAGCTGGACCGGCGGTCGTAGGCCGGACAGTAGCTGGACCGGCGGTCGTAGGTCGGACAGTAGCTGGACCGGCGGTCGTAGGCCGGACAGTAGCTGGACCGGCGGTCGTAGGTCGGATAGTAACTGGGCCGGCGGTCGTAGGCCGGGCAGTAGCTGGACCGGCGGTCGTAGGTCGGACAGTAGCTGGACCGGTGGTCGTAGGTCGGGCAATAGGCGGTCCGCCATCCGCAGGTCGGGCAGTAGAGGGCCCGTGGTTCTAAGGGAAACTCCTTAGCAACGGCGTTCGTCCGAACGTTCCAAGGTGGCGGTACTTCGGCGTGGTCGGTGGCTTTTTGCCGGATTATGCGTCATCCTCGTCCACCCGAGGACTTTCTGGTATGTTCGGTTGTGGTTTCAGGTCCTGTACGTGGATATGCCGATGCCATTTCCCGTGTTCGTCGCGTAGGTCCACGATGACTGGGGATATTATCCTGCGTACTTCCATGGGCCCCGCAAATCGAGGGGCGAGTTTGGCATTAAACGCGTCGTCGCGGCTGGACAGGGGGCGTTCCCGCTTCCACACCTTGTCGCCCACCCGAGGGCGCCAGTCGCGTCGCCTCATGTTATAATGGCGCTCCTGTTTTTGGAAGGCTCGGGCGAGGTGCACCCTGGCGACCTCATAGGCCTCTTCCAGGCGTTGTCGATGCGACTCCGGGGAAGTCGGGTTCGGCGTTGGTTGTCGCTCGGCGGGATGGGGAGGTGCCAATTCGCGGCCGTGGAGCAGAAAGGCTGGGGTGTATCCGGTGGCCTCGTGTCGAGCGGTGTTTACCGCGAACTGCAACGCGTCAATGTGCTCGTCCCAATCCCGGTGCCGGTCGCCCACGTATTGACTAATCATGGTCTTGATGGTCCGATTCGCCCTCTCCACCGGGTTGCAATGCGGCGCGTAGACAGGTGACGTGCGGTGCTGGATCCCGAACGATGCCAGCAAGGTACGGAACTGACGGGAGGTGAACTGAGTCCCGTTGTCCGAGATGAGTTGGCCCGGGCATCCATGCCGGTAGATGATGCGGCGGGTCACCTCTTTCGCCAGTGCCGTGGTGGTGGCGCGTCGCAGGGGAACCATCTCGACCCATTTGCTGAACCGGTCCTGGGCGGTCAGGAGCCAGACATGTCCACGGACCGAGCGTGGCAGAGGACCGACTAGATCCACTGAGACTTGCTGCCACGGAGCGGTTACTGGGGTAGCGTGTAGATTCCCGGCTGGTCGTTGCTGCGGCACTTTGTGGGCCAGGCAGCTCGGACAGCTCCGAACGTACCGGGCTGTCTCCCGGAACATCCCCGGCCAGTGGTACAACCGGGCGAGTCGGGCGATGGTCTTAGCCACTCCTAGATGCCCTGCGGTTGGGTCGTCGTGTAGCCGGCGCAGGATGTCGAGCCGCTGTTCCCGGGGGACGCATTGTTTCCATTGCTCGGTGGAGGGTACCTCGCTAAAATCCAGGTCGTGTAGCACATGTCGAAACAGTTGGCCACCACGTATTTCGTAGTCGGGGTACTCGTCTGGTCGGCTCTTTACTTCTCTGAGGAGGCGTTGGTACCATGGACACGCTATCCGGTGTTGCATTGCGTTGAGCTGCGGCTCCCGGGAGAGGGCATCGGCTACTTGATTTTGTCCTCCTCTTCTATAGTGTATGGTGAAGTCGAACTGTTGCAGTTCGAAGAGCCACCGCCCCAGGCGTCCGGACGGGTTTTCCAAACGTTGCAGCCACTTGAGAGACTGGTGGTCGGTTACGACGGTGAATCGATACCCCTCCAAGTAGTCTCGCATTCGCCGGATTCCCCATACCACGGCGAGACATTCCAACTCGGTCGCACTGTAGTTCCGCTCGGCGCCGTTGAGCGTTCGGCTGGCGTATGCGATTACTCGTTCCCCCTCCGTCTGGTGCTGCGTTAGCACGGCTCCTAGCCCATGCGAGCTGGCATCGGTTTGTAGCAGGAACGGTTTCTGAAAGTCCGGGCAGGCCAGAACCGGTGTGGAGGTCAATGCTGCCTTCAGTTGTTGAAAGGCTGCGTCTTCGGGGGTCCCCCATGTCCAGCCAGCTCGTTTTTTGGTCAGCGCGGTAAGCGGCGCCGCTAGTGTTGAAAAGTTCGGGATGAACCTCCGATACCACGAGGCCATTCCTAAAAATTGCCGGACCTTGCGCACGGTGGTGGGAATTGGCCACCCGGTGATGGCGCTCACCTTGTCTGGATCCGTGTGTATCCCTTGTCGATCAATCACATGCCCTAGGTAGCGGAGGCTCGGACGGCAGAAGTGGCACTTATCCGGGTTTAAGCGTAGCTTTGCTTCGCGTAGTCGCCGGAATACCTCTCTCAAGTGTTGCAGGTGTTCGCTGAACGTCTTGCTGGCGATTATTATGTCGTCCAAGTATACCAGGACGTTAGGTTCGAGGTCGGGGCCGATCACGGTATCTAGCAACCGCTGGAAGGTTGCCGGGGCCGAGTGCAACCCGAAAGGCATGACCGTAAATTGGTACAAACCCTTCCCTGGTACGGTGAAGGCGGTTGCAGGTCGACTCCCTTGGTTCAGTGGTATCTGCCAGTAACCACTCTTTAGATCCAAGGTGGTCAGGTATTTCGCCCCGCGTAACTTGTCGAGCGTAGCCGTGATGTGCGGCAAGGGATAGGCGTCTTTATCTGACATTGCATTCAGCCTGCGGAAATCGATGCAGAATTGATACTGCCCATCTTTCTTTCGAACAATGACTACCGGTGAGCTCCAGGCACTGCTCGAGGGCTCGATGACGCCTTCGGCGAGCATTCGGTCGACCTCCTCATTGATGACGGCCTGCATGACCGGGTTTCGAGGTCGGTACCGCTGTTTGATGGGCGGTCCCGGCTTTAGCCGGATGCGATGTTCGGTTCGGTCGGTTCGTCCCGTGATTACTTCAAATAATGGTAACTCGGCGGCTAGAAAGTCCCGGAGTTGTGCTTCTTCGTTTGCTTCGTTGTTTGGTCCGGCGGTGATCGTGTTGGTCCGGGAAACCGTCCCGGTCTGGTTCAACGGTGGGGGCGGCAAAGTGAATCCCATCTTCGCCCATAGGTCGGTACCAATCAGCACAGCGCTAGCTAGCCCAGGGAGTATGCAGAAGTCGTGCCAATAGGTTCTCCCATGCCATCGGAGAGGCAGGCGCAATACCCCAGTGACCCCTACCCGTGTGTTATCGGCCAGGAGGACGTAGTCTCCTCGGTTCTGGGCTAGTCGGGGTATTCCGGGGAATAGTCGTGCAGTCTCTTCCTGTATGCACGAGACTTCAGATCCGGGATCTATGAGAGCCGCAAACGGTTGTCGCCGTATGTGTACTTGGAGGTGCGGGCGCGGACGGTACTCTATTCGAGGTTGGGCTGGGAGACGGCCGCAACGTCCCCGCCCGTTGGGCGTTTCCCGTCGGCGGGTGGCAGTCGCGAGTCAGGACACCATCTTTGCCGCACCGCGAGCAGAATTTCCTTGGTGGCCGCTTACAATCCACTCGAGTGTGTCCTCGCTGCTTACATCTCCAGCAGCACTCCTCCCGGTTGTAGGTGACGGCGGCGACTGATGGTTTGGCGGTCGTTGGGGTTCGATCCTGTCGACGGTGGTTGATTTCCTCAATCTTAGATATCCGGGTCCGGAGTTCGCTCATGGTGAGCTGATCGGTGAGCGGGACATAGAGCTGGTGTTCGGGATTCATGTTCTCGTAGATTTGCTCCAGCTGTTCTCGCTCGGAGTATCCCCCAGCTCGGCGCATCATGGTGAGAAGCGCATTGGAGTATTCGCGAAACGACTCCCCCGGCTTTTGAGAGCGTCCGTTGACTTCTCGTTTTAGTCGCCTCAGGTATCCCGGCGGCAGGTAATAATCCCGGAACTGTTCGCAGAAACTGGCCCAAGTTCCCCAGGTTTCGTGATGGTTTCGATACCACAAGAGGGCATCCCCTTTTAGCAATTCCGGTAGGCCCAAGAGTAAGTGGTCTTCTTCGAGGCCATAACTGGCTCTTAGCTCTTCAACTCTCTCTAGGAATGAGAGTGGATCCACTCCTTCGAAACGGTGGCCCCATTTCCGGATCTGGTTGATGATCTCGATGCGTTCCGTTGGACTCAAGGTGGGCATGGTTGCGGCTTCTCCTGGTACGTCACCGCTATTGTTCCTCGGGTTGTCGGACGGGTGGGCAGCGAAGTACAGGCGCAATCGGCGTCTCAGCAGGTCCACCTGGCCTGTGGTATCCACTTCGAACCGGTGGAGATATTCTACAAGCTGTTCTTTGGAAAGGTTATTAATCCACGCAGTCATGAGGCTTTTCGCTAGCTGGACTCTCCTTAAACGGTCCCTGTTCGGGCGCCATGTAACGGTACGGCCTATCCCGTGCGCCACGGACTGGCTCGCCGGTGCCAAGATTCGGGAGTAGGTAGGAGAGTCAAGCGTACGAATCCTCTTTTATAAACAACAGGTCTTTATTGGTAGCTAGTTTATCCAGGTTGACTTAACCTACGCAGAGCTTATACCTAACTATTTTTACGCGGAGCTTATACCTAACTTATTGTACGCGGAGCTTATACCTAACTTATTCTACGCAGTTAATTATTCCTCTAGCTTAACCTACGGACGCTTACGGTAAACTTAGCCTAGACGGTCGGTCGCGGTTCCGTTCGGCGAGCGTGTCGCGATTGCGGCGTGCGGCGGTGCGCGGAGGCCGAGTGCCGGGCAAACCCAGGCGGCGGAGAGGTCAGCCCCGTCTCCGTCGGCGTGCACGGTCAGGAAGCCGAGTGCCGGGCAAACCCAGGCTGCGGAGAGGTCAGACCCGTCTCCGTCGGCGTGCGAGGTCAGGAAGCCGAGTGCCGGGCAAACCCAGGCGGCGGAGAGGTCAAACCCGTCTCCGTCGGCGTGCACGGTCAGGAAGCCGAATGCCGGGCAAACCCAGGCGGCGGAGAGGTCACACCCGTCTCCGTCGGCAGGAACGGTCAGGAAGCCGAATGCCGGGCAAACCCAGGCGGCGGAGAGGTCACACCCGTCTCCGTCGGCAGGAACGGTCAGGAAGCCGAATGCCGGGCAAACCCAGGCGGCGGAGAGGTCACACCCGTCTCCGTCGGCAGGAACGGTCAGGAAGCCGAATGCCGGGCAAACCCAGGCGGCGGAGAGGTCACACCCGTCTCCGTCGGCAGGAACGGTCAGAAGTCAAGATGTCTCGGTTATTCCCTGAGATTCAGAGCT